GTTCCTTGATTTTAATATAATTTTTAATAGTTTTGTGTATTTGTTAATTATAAAAATTTAGGGTGTTTGTTTTTATAATTTTAAAAACCTTTGAGGGTATTTTTTATAGTTTTCTAAATTTTTATTGTGTTTTTACTATAATACATAGATACATCAATTAATGATGATATTAAAGAGTAAGTCGTTCTTAAGATGTATTAGGCTATAGTTAAGTGTGCATATCAGTATTCCTAGGCAGTATAGTTTATACATGCAAAAATTTTCAAACAATCTATATAGTGGTTAAAAGGTTTTTGACTTTAATGTAATATTTTTTATAAATTATATTTAATGTGAACCCAACATATAATTTTAACTGTGGTCACTATGAGTGAAACCACAACTAAAAGTTAATGTGAATGAGTCAAACCTTAATTAAAAGTTTAATGAATATATTACAAGTAAATTCATATGCAAAATTCATTTACGAATTGAATGGTCACCCATATTTTAAAGAATTCAAGATACTAATAAACAAAGATATTGTACTAGATCAATATGTTTATAATTCACAAATAGTAGATCACGTAACGATAGTCAGGATTGAAGGAAACAATGATAATATTTTATTTGAAAGAGAGATTATTGTGTTGATAATCAATCCCGCAAAAAACTTTATTTTCTCTTTTATTTTAATCTATTTTTATCAATTTAAATAACCATGATATTCGACCACGTGCATTGCACGTATAATCTAACTAGTATATATATATCATACTCTCTTTAAAAGTACGAGTTCGGAAAAATCTTTCTATGATCAATATTAACCTTGACTATTTGAATATTTTATTTAAATTTTAATTTATTATAATCATAATTATATCATATCCTAATCTTATGTCAACTACTTACAGGTCAATAATTTAAAGATTAATAAGCTATAATATATGAAGATTGCAAAAAACCCTAAAAAGTTTTAAAAATTGCACAAAACAACCTTAAAAATATAAAATACACAAAATATCCAGACGTTCAAAACTTAAAACAGCAAACATGAAACCCTCAATATTTTAAAACCTATAAAAACACCCTCAAAAGTTCAAATAATAACAAAGTACTATGAAATTCTGAAATTTCAAAACTTACGAACAACAAAGACGAATTCAAGGAATTACTATCAGACACTAAAAAACTAAAATTTATAAAAAATAACCTCAAAGTTATAAATATTCCGAAAACTCCTTCGAAAATTAAAACACACAGAAAACACTAAAATTTAATAACTTATAACTAATACATATTAAATTTCAAAATCATACGAGTTCGGAAAAATCTTTCCATGGTTAATATTACCCTTGACTATTTGAATATTTTATTTAAATTTAATTTATTATAATCATAATTATATCCTGTTCTAATCCTATGTGAACTACTTACAGGTCAATGATTTAAAAAATAATAAGCTATAATATATGAAGATTGCAAAAAAACCCCAAAAAGTTTTAAAAATTATACAAAACACCCTTAAAAGTATAAAATTACACAAAATATCCAGACGTTTCAAAACTTAAAACAACAAACATAAAACCCTTAATATTTTAAAAACTACAAAAACACTCTCAAAAGTTCAAATAATAAAAAAACACTATGAAATTCTCAAATTTTAAAACTTGTGAAAAACAAAGACGAATTCAAGGAATTACTACCAGACACTAAAAAACTAAAATTTATAATAAATAACCTCAAAGTTGTTAAAATTCTGAAAAACGCCTTCGAAAATTAAAAAACACACAAAACCCTAAAATTTGATAGCTTATAACTAAAACATATTAAATCTTAAAATTATCAGCAGACCGTTAAAAATTTAAAAATTTTTCAATAAACAATCTGAAATTTTAATAATTGCAAAAAATACCCTCAAAATTCAGAGTTGCAAGAAATATTCTGACATTAAAAAACTTACTACGAACACATGAAACATGAAAGTTACAAGTACTCAACTTAAAATTTAATATTTTTAAAAAACACAAAGTTTCAAAATTTGCAAAACATACCCTTAAAAATTCAAAATCACGAAAAAGCGACTAAAATTTCAAAACATAGCAAAAAAAGAGAGTAGTTGTTTGATATTCTTTCATTAAGATATGTAAATTTAACATTTATTTTAAGGTTTTACTATCTTTTTTGGCATCTAAAAGTAGTCTAATTTTATCAAAAAAGATAAAGGTGGAGAAGGATTGATAACGTCAGTAGTCTAATTTTATCAAAAAAGATAAAGGTGGAGAAGGATTGATAACGTCTCAATAAAAAATAAAACAGAAGGAATGAAAGACACTATTTTCTGATCTCAATAAAAAATAAAACAGAAGGAATGAAAGACACTATTTTCTGAATATTTTATAGAATAGGTTTTTTGGAGTAAATTAGGAATTTTTGAAAGGGATTTTCATAAACTTTTTTAGTACTTTTATATGTTTATGTGGATGTTTTCATTATATAAAAGTATATTAGATTTAGTATTAATCTTTATTTTATAATTATTTTAAAGTCTATCAAGGATTAGGAACAAACTCCATATTGTCTTTTGTGTCATTTTAGCCCACTTTTAACCAATCATCTTGTCTTATGAGCTTTAATTATTCATTTTCCTTTTAGAACACTATTTTTTGAAGTGTTTTTCACTTTTACAATGCTATATTTTCTCAGGTCAAGTTTGGTTGCATGTTGGTCTCAATGACATGATAATTCAAATTGATTTCAGATTACATTTATTTCCTGTCAATTTAATTATCAATATAAAAATTTAAATTGGGTGTAGTTCATTTAAACGAATATTAAAGAAAATAAATAATCACAATGCTAAAGTTTAGAGGTATAAGTAAGCAAAAACCATCAAAGTGGAACCGATGAATAAGTTTTAGTAAGGAAATAAACCAAATATACTTAATCATGATATTTGACTACGTGCATTGCACGTGCATAAAACCTAGTGTGTGTGTGTGTGTGTGTATATATATATATATGTACGAAGCACAAATTTTGTGATTGGTAGTGAGGTGTTCTATTCTCATCCACTCATTCTAATTCCCAATATGCTTGGTACGAAGCACAAATTTTGTGATTTGTAGTGAGGTGTCCTATTCTCATCCACTCATTCTAATTCCCAACCACTCTTCAATTCATGTGAATGTGGACCACGATTTCAATGAGTGGAGAAGAATATGTCACCTCACTATTAAGCATAAAAACTTGTGTTTGGTATCAAACATATCTATTTTTCTTATATAAAAACTTGTACTTGGTACCAAACATATCTAATTTTCTTATATATATATATGAGATAAATTGTACAATATACGTTCAAGAAGTGTATCACAAATTTTTTAAATTAGAACATGTCTTATATAATCGAGAACACATCTGAATATATAAGGACATGTTCATTTTAGCACATACATAGCTCGTAAGTATGATTTTGAAGGATCGTTTGGGTATCTGATTAAAAAATGAGCGGCTTTTCAATGTATAATATACTCAATAAAAGAAACATTAAAATGATATGAGGATTTTAGTTCTCATAACATGTGAATGAAAAACAATATCAATCTCATACAGATTATTAATTTATATGTAGTATTCTAAAATTTACAATTTTGTCGTGTCTCGTATTCGTATGTGCCCATTTCTACACTTACGCCCGATGTGTCTCGTATCAGTGTGTGTGCCCATTTTTGCACCCGCACCCGCACCCATATCCAGCAACATAGGATACAAGTCACAAGAACTCACGCTATTCATATTTGAATTAATCCTAATCTAGTCTGCCAGTTGAAAGATTGATTGCTAGTGGTATGTCTAAGTTGATTAGTTATTTTATCATGGGATCTGATAGCATATATGCATAGCTCAAAGATCAACTATCAGACTTATTCACTTATTATAGTTTTGTACCTACATATAGCAATATTGAGAATACACTACATAGAAGAATACTGTGCCCATTATTTATATAATATAAGAAGCTGTGGAAATTTCGCACATTGTAATATATGTAGTTTTTAATCATCATACCTAATAGCAATATGATGGATTCCAACGATAATGAGCATGATAATGAAAGTCACCCATACGACATGATTAACATTAGTAACAGGCTAGACTAACTCCCTTCCACCCCCAACCTCCCCACCCACCCACCTAGAAAAAACTAGGTTAACTAACTCCCCCCAAGACAACCACCATGCAAATCAAACATAGAAGAGGAGACCCCAATATTCTGGCAGATAACTCATAATATAAAAATATGAAAGCTTGCACTCTTTGAGGTATATGAGCTTATACTATCTCATTCAAATCATCCTCTTTTATTTATCTCATGATAAAATAACCAATTCATTCTTAAAGTATTAGTGAACTCTCAACTTTCTCCCTATAGTATTAACATGCCATATTTTCCTTTAAACTATGTGTATGTGCCTAATGTGATCATTTTGTAAGCCCACAAACAAATTTTCAAATGAAATGATGTGATAGTGTTTTTGCATTTCGTCATGATTTTTATCAGCTTGTCTTTCATTTCCCCAATCAAAAAATAATTTATCAGCTACTTTCCTCCAAAACTTTTTACCTTTATCCCTTTTTCGGAATTGAAAAATCTTTTTGAATTATAGAAAATAAAAGAAATGCAAAAAGCAGTATCATGTCATCAATCTGCTAAATATTTGATCGTGGGCTAAGAAAATGACCATATTAGGCATATACACAGAATAAGGGGAAAATTAGCAAATTAATAGTTTAGGGAGGAAGTGAGAGTTCACCAATACTTAAAGGGGGATTTGATCATTTTATCCTTTATCATATACACCGTAGTTATTTTCCCCATAACTTGGTAACTTGCGTCTAACATCTATGCATGTTTATTTATTGAATCAGAAAATATTTTCTAATTTTGTTTGCAGATTTTAGGTTTGTAGTTTCTCATGTTTTGTTTTAAGTACTAAGTCTTTGCCTATGAATTACAGCAAGTCATTTGGCAGGACAATATCGACCCCGACAATATGACTTATGAGGTTTGTTCAACTCTTGATCATATTTTCAACGTTCCTTGTAAATCCTTCTTTTTCCTTATGCTCATCTTCTGCACATTCTTGCATTCTTTTTGCTGATGTGTTATGCACCGTGTAATGCATTTATTTGCATATCTAGTTATTTACAGTTTATGTAGGAATAATTGGAGTAATATATATCAAATGTGCAATGCTCCAAAAGATTCTTTGATCTCGAGACTATGATATTTTAAGTTTTGAGACATGGGCAGCACTTATAGTGCAAATTATGTTTCGAGAAGAAGCTCGGTTTTCGAAGGGTGGTACGTTCTAACAACTTCAGAAGGGGATATCAAAAAACTTTTGAGGGAAAACATACTGGAATTATTTTAACACGGAGTCTTCATCTTAATTTGATCCGAATACCATCAATCATTCTTCTCAAGGTGCCCTTTAGAGTTCTTTCCTTGAGATATAATAATGACAAGCCCTTTCACCAATCAAATGTATACCACTGTAAAATATATCTGCTAAGCAGCAGCAGATCAGCAAGTAAGCCTTCATTCGATTGTCTTTTGAGAGACGACCACTTGGAGTTGTCTATCGATCACCTCTTTCAATGCTTAGCAACTCTGCTAGCAAAACTTTATATGGATCAGACAGTTTCCACACAAGCTGCCAGCTTTAAAATTTTATGTGTCAACAATATTTTGAATCTTCATCTAAGTAAGATCATCCTACAACCATGCTTGGTCAAATGCTGATTGCTTCTCTCCATAGTGTCTTTAACCAATGAGCACCATTTCAGAATACTAAGTGCTCATCCTCAACCCTAAGGAGATTGGAGACTCTAGTAGCATGTTGGATTGGGTGAATGCTAGGTTCATTGACATAGTCTTGTTTGGTATGTGGCCATATAAGACAAATGTTTTAATGCTGATGTTATTTGGGAATTCCTAGGGAAGATAGTCCATGATATACCACTTGTAGGATGATCTATATATTCTTTGTCCTATGCCTGTGTAAGTCACATAACCATGGGTGCTTGACAAAGAGTTTGCCAACATAATCTTGCTTTTGATTCATAAGATCAGATCACATTGTCCTTCATCCTGTAGATCCACTTCAATAGTTTCTTTAAGCGAAATGGTTACTCTTCTACCCATGGTGTATTTGAGCATTCCTAGTGTGTAAACATGTTATAGATGAAATACGAAAGATGAATGTCTGATCCTGACTATCCTATTACATTACCTGATATGAATTGCATGGTGGATGTGGATCATAAAGCAGGGATACCCTTCTTACTTGCAATAATGCTCATCTTCTGGTGGGAAAGTTGAAATGTTCTAATCCATACAGTCCTACACTAGTTAGGGACCCTTTAAATATTATATAGTGTTGAGGAATGACTATGCATGTCATGTTGGTGCTTCAGTTTCTTGGTATTGCTTATGGATTATTACTTCACCACCCACCATATCCTCACATTGTCAGACAACTCAGTATTGCTTCTTGTTTTGGGGTTAGAAAGTCAAGTAGGGGTTTCTGTGGTTCTAGAGCCTTGTTGTTTTCTTATGATCTCATTTAGTAGTAAAATTTTATCTAGGCTAAGTTTAGGACCGAATGACTTTCTTGATGTCATTAGGTTCCTTGTCTTCTTTTAACTCTATTTCCTTTTATCTATGCTTCATCCGCTTTTTTCTCATCCATACCTACTATAGAGGAATAGAAAAGCCAAAGATATTATTTATCTAATACTAAGTTCTCTTAAATAGATATTAGGAGAATATTACAAACTAGGTATGCGATAAAATCATATCCAATCATGTCTCACAAGATCTCAATAATATCTCATAATACCGCCTAAATTTAAGTATCAATAATATCTAACCCCCCCTCAAACTGGAGCGTATTACTATATATGTCCAACTTGTTATAAGTGAGAATAAAACAACTACTTGCAAGAGATTTAGTAGTGTCATCTTTGTCCGCAGTACTTGAAGACGTCAACAATTAGAAAGTTATAGTCACAACCAGTAGAAATCCTAGGCAGGTAACCATTAGAAACACGCTAGACGAGAACTCCATTATAAACAGTTTAAGACGGGTACGCCAGTAGAAATCCTAGACGGGTCAACCAGTAGAAATCCTAGGTACGTCAGCTAGTAGATATCCTAGGTGGTCAGCTAGTAGAAAACCTAGATTGATCAATCGCTCGCTTGGTCATTAGATCTTGATTTCAACATCCTTCAACAAGAAAGATGACTTGAGCTAGAGGTGGAGTCATAGAGGAAGCAGTTGCAAATGTCATAGTCGATCGAGGATGAGGAGGTAGGGTGAACACTTTCTACTATTCATACGATGAACGGAGATCCTTCTATTGTTCAGGTGATGATGAACAATTGTCTTTTTTTTTTTTGGAAAATAGGGTTTTTTTGGAGGATTTTTTTGAGGATTTAGGAATTTGCGATCTCGAAGTAGTTGCTGAGCTAAAGATGTCGAAGCCGCTAAGGGGAAGCATAGAGGCGGTGCAAACCCACTCGGCGACACCAAGGTTGAGGAAGAAGAAAGAGGTCTTTCTAGCATCAAGAAAGCTCTGATACCATGTAGAGAAATAAAGAGGACATAAATATTATTCATCTGACTCTACATCAGGAGAATATTACATAATAGTTATAAGATAAAATCATGTCTAATCACATCTTACAATATCTCATAATATATCCTAAATCTAAATATCAATAATATATAACACCTACATTAATGTTATCACCTAACTTGAAAACTTGTTATTTGCATATTGTAAGTAGTAATCCATGATCCAGTACCTTGCCCCTTTTTTGGACTTAAATTTGGTAGACATGTGTATATATACAGTATTTCGAATGAGCCATTGGTTTATCATCTTTTGTTACTGAAACATTGTTAATAAATCTGGCTGTCACCTTTCCTAGTAAACACACTCATGCAGAAGTTCTGTATTAATGAAATTCCTTTTTAATTAAAAATATAATCTTTTCAAGGCTACAAGTTTCATATATACATTTGTTGCAATTTGATATGATAAATATCTCATAGAAGGTGGTTAACCTTGACTTAAGCATCCTGTAGATGACATATTTATATGCTTTGTTATAACATCTCATGTCACTACTACAAACTTTATTAACTTTAAATATAAAACATCTGCTCGCATCTATGTTAATTTTATTACTTTGTTATGAGTTGAATAGGAATTGGAAAATGGCAGCATAGGAATGTAGCGTCATTGATTTTCTTTTTCTTCTTTTTCTTTTTCTTTTTTCTTTTTTTACATTTTTTTTCAGCAGAGAAAACATGCTTTTATATTACATCATGCTGTCTTTGTCATCAACACAATCTACTTGTGGAACACAGCCATAGCCTCTATGGCATCTCTGACAATATAACTGTGCTACTGGATGAATTAGCCTTTAAGGGGCTGTTCGTTTGGCCATTTTTTTGGGAAATCAAAGAATAGGAAACCTATTTCCTATAATATTTGTTTTGAGGTTGTTTGGTTGGTTTAAAAAAGAAAGAAATTGTAGAATAGGAGATAAGATGAGATGAGTTGTCAACTTATTATTGGATGATGTGAGTGATTTTAAAAAAAAAATTGTTTTGAGGTTGTTTGGTTGGTTAAAAAAATAAGGAAATGAATTGGAGGTATATTATTGGATGATGTTTTGAGGTTGTTTGTGTTTGGTTCGTTTTTAAAAATAGGAAAATAGATGAGTTGGAGGTATATTATTGGATGATGTGACACGTACTTAAGGAAACCAATTTCTTGTTTTTTTTTGAGGAAATGGATGGAAATGAATGTTTAATGAGATGAGATGAGTTGTCACAATATTATTGGATGATGTGTGTGATTTTTAAAAATGGGATAAGATGAGTTGTGATGAGATGGATGATGTGACACATTTCTTGTGTTTGGTTTATTTTTAAATGTAAGAAAGGAGATGAAATGAGATGAGTTGGAAGATAAAAATAATATTTTATTAGATGTTGTGGGTGAGTTTTAGGGATGGAAATGGGTAAAAATATTATTTTATTAATTTCCTTGTACCGATTTCCTTTTCTTGATTTTTAGGAAACCAACCAAACGGGCCCTAAGCACCTGCAATAGTATAAATGTGTAATTCACATCTCTAATATTTCTTAAGGGGGGCTGTCATCACTTTTAAATCTATACATTATTATTGGTTACTTCTTTATCTTTTCAATAACAAATTTATTAGTTCTGAAATAGACTTGAAATGTTACTGTTTTATAAAGTCATGCATAAGTGATGTCATATTTTTATGCCTTTATAGTGTTCAGTTTAGTTTAAAACGTTTACTACTTTAATCAACAGGAATTACTAGATTTAGGTGAGGCAGTTGGAACCCAAAGCCGGGGCCTTTCTCAAGATAAAATATCTTTACTTCCGGTGACAAAGTACAAGTGTGGCTTCTTTTCAAGAAAAAAATCACGCAGGGAAAGGTAATTTCCCTATTTTTTCTCTTTTTTCCCTCTCGCGTTCTTTATTTATGACCATGTTCTTGCTTAAGCAATTATTTTTATGATAAACCTTCAGAAACAGCCATGAAATTTCATGTCTCTCAGAAAGTTACGTAAGTTTTGTTTACGTTATTTAGCAATTTAGCATGCATGGATTTTTCTCAGAAAACTACCCTTTGTTAGCACCATTTGTTTAAGTCATCATGTCTCTTGCATGTGAGGTTTTATTGATAAACTTACCTAATTCTTATTTATTTTAGTTATAAGTAATTTATTGTTTGTATATTTGTCCATTGTTCATCTTCTTCCTCAACCTTTTCTACTTCTCTTCTCTCTTGTGAAACCAAGCATCACACAGGCCTCCATCCTCATCCCCAAGTTAATATATGTGGTAACCTTATTTTTTTTCTAGCTCTCATGTCAAACCTCAAATGCTACATATAAAATCATGTAATTTAAAAAAAATTAGATTACTCGAAAGAATTCCTTAGTAAATGTGGGTCTCAATATCATGTCTGTAGACCTCAAGTCCATTGGTTACAAGGTTTTAAATGTCGGATGTCGGGTTCATGTCGGATGACTAAAATTCATGTTGAATAGCGGAAATCGGGGATATGTCGGGGGACATGAAAAAAATATCGGATTGTCATATCGGATGTTGTGCATAAGTGTAATATAAATATCATAAATAAAATCTAAATAAACTTAAAAAATTCTATTGTCTAAACATATGAAAGACTAAATAACTTATGATGCTTAGGGTTAACGTTGAAGGAAAGATGTGAAAAATCCGAAATTAGCAGTTAAGAAGAGAGAAGATCGCCTGATATTGATGTCGAAGGAATAGCTCGGAGAAGAGACCGATGAGATGTCAAAGGAGAGAGAGAAGATGAGCGACGCATATTATTTTGGTCTTTTTTCCATTTCCCTTAACTTATCGATTTTTGTCTTTTTAAGTAATATTAAGACAATCAATAATTTAAACTCAAACCTGATTAGACAAACATAACCAAAAAAATAAAAAAACCAGCCAATTTTTCAGACTGAAAAATCGGCCGACATAACCGACATATCATCCAACATATCCTCCGATATATTCGACATGAACCCTGAAAGCGTAATACATATTAAAAAGCTCTATATCATGTCGGTTGACTCCTAAATCTGACATGTCGCCCGACACGGACATGTCGGCCGACATTAAAATTGGTCATGCAACCAAGGGTAGTTTCCATGGATTAAAGATCCATGGTAATAGAGCCCTAGTTTACTAGTTTATAGTTTATAGTTTATGAAGCTTTTGATTTATAGCAATGGAAAAAGATCTTGAGGTCATAGA